ACATTATCGTATCAAATAGACCGTATATTAAATTCTAAATACTTCGGGGTTTTCAAACGAGACTATGATGAACTCCCACCTGGGACTATGTAACTGTGAAGGGGACAAGTTTGATAGCTTGGATTATTTCATAAACAAGGATGACAGTGATTCTAGAAGTTAGATTTATGTTTCGATAAAGTAATCCGGTTTAGACTTTGGATCATCACACGCCATCAACGCAAAGGTATCATTTGTTTCAAGCCTTCTTAGATGAGCACACTTTCTGATGTTGTTAAATGTAAGATAAAAGCGGTGTAAAAAATCACTGGTGGTAAGCAGATATACAATATTCCGAATTCTTTTGATGTGTATACTCTTAATAAATCTTTTATTTACTCTCCCTCAGATGCCATGCTTCCCAGCATCACTAGTGTTAGTAATAGCCCCTTTCCAGGTTTTAACACAAATGATGTTCAAAAGTGCCACAAGTCTCTAAACCCTTCCCAGAGCTTAGGTCCAGATTATGTACCCAGTATTATCTTTAAAAAATGTTCTGATATTCTGTGTCACCCTCTCATTGATCTACTTAACAAATCTTTTTCCAGTAATATTGTGCCTGCCGTTTGGAAGGAAACTAAAGTTGTACCTATACCTAAATCATCTACTGAAGCATGTGTCGAATTTAGACCCATTGCTATTACCTCTCCTTTTTTGAAAACTATGGAGAAATTACTTTCACTTAGTCTTCTAGCTTCGCTAAAATCCTTTAATGACCCTAAACAATTTGCCTATAAGCACAGTAGAAGCACTTTAGATGCAGCTGCCGTCTTATATCATAACATTGCTTCCAGTCTAGACAAGGGGGCTAAATTTGTTCGTTGTGCCTTCCTAGACTATACATCTGCTTTCGACTCGGTCCCTAGGGACATCTTACCAAATGAACTTGCTGCAAGTCAAACAGAATGTTGGGTTGTTGACTGGTTACATTCCTATTTCTCAGAAAGAAAGCAGTACACCGTGTATAAAGGGAAGTCTTCCACTTCATTGTCTACTGAAGCTGGTGTCCCTCAAGGCGCTGTTCTTTCTCCTTTTCTTTTTTCTCTTCTTACATGACTTGCCTCACTCTGATGAAATAAACTTTGTGAAGTACGCTGGTGATTTAACAGTTTCAACGGCTGTTTGTGTATAATCTGAATTTAAGCCGCATTGAAATGGAAGTGCTTTCCCTCGGATTTAACTTCCATATCCCGAATAACTTTGTCAATAGAACCGATATCGCAGCTCAATTCGAAAACCTATTCTATCAGCTGAATAACCTTACTCCAGTTGATGAGGACAAGAAGAGCTGGTTCGAATCTAAGCTGGTCGACGTTGCAAATCAATACCTTATTTCACCAACGTCATATTCCAAAGTTCTCTCTGAAGAGCATCAAAAATCATTGAAAGCTCTCAGAAATAATGACAAAATCGTCATACTGCGACCTGACAAAGGCACAGGAGTGGTACTGATGGATAAAGATGACTACATCGCAAGGATGAAAACCGTACTGAATGATCCGTTGAGGTTCCAAGTCGACAACTGCCAGAAAGACAAGACAGATGCAACTGAAAACGCATCACAAACGTACTGAGAGATCTTCTAAAGAAGAATTTGATTGACAACAGCACGTACAATAAATTGAAACCCCGAGGGTCCCGCTTGGCATATATGTATGGCCTTCCAAAGACACACAAGAAAGAAGTCCCTCTGAGACTTATACTTTCGATGATAAACTCTCCCTAACATAAGGTTACCCGTTGGCTTGTGGAGAAGTTGGAACCCATTCGCCGAAGGCTAGCCGCGCATACCATAAAAGACTCATTTCATTTTGCTGAAAGCGTGAATCACATGAACGTTTCAAATAAGTTCATGGCTTCATTTGATGCAACCTCCTTGTTCACAATGAACCCAATCAATGAAACTATTGAGATCATTTGTCAACAGTTCGATCTTCTCCCACTACCAGAGCCGGAATTCAAACGCCTGCTGCTAATGTGTACCATGGGTGTACAATTCCAGTTTGACAATACTCTTTACCGACAAACAGATGGTGTAGCTATGGGCAGTCCACTTAGCCCTGTTTTAGCAGATATCTTTATGTCAAACCTTGAGAAAACAAAGTTGAAGCATGCAACTGATCAAACAACTTCCTATTGTCGATATGTCGATGACAAATTTGTAGTATGCAACAACGAAAGTCATGCCTCCTACCCACTCAGACTATTCAACAACGCACATACAAATATTGTATTTACTATGGAACATGAAAATGATGGAAAGTTCCATTTCCTTGACGTCGCCATGCAACGCCTAGAAGATGGTAGTCTCCAGGGGTCAGTCTACCGAAAGCCCAAATGGAATGGACAATACTTACATTTTAATAGTTTTTGTCCAAATAGCTATAAACGAGCACTAGTCAAGACTCTGTACTATAGACCAAGGAGAATATGCCCTGCAGAGAAACTAGAGAAAGAATTTACGAATCTCGAAAAGGTGCTGAAAAACAACGGCTATCCCCAAAGATTCATTAACAAATATGGAAGATGTGAAGGCTCAAATACCAGACAAATCACAGTTGAAAAAAGAAGCCTGTCTTTCTTCAACTAGATTTTAAAGGTGAAGACATTGCAGAAATGGTTAACAGAAGACTGAGAACATCACTAGCCAGAGCCTATCTTGCAGGTAAGTTGGTTCCCTTCCATCGAACAACATGCTCTTTAGTGCAGTCAAAGGTCGAGAGATACCCTTCTCATGTTAACTCTAACTGTGTATACAAATTTATGTGTATCTGCGGGAGCAGTTACATTGGGAGAACAGAAAGAAGGATACACCTCTGATTTTGTGAACGTGTGCCGAAAAGCCTACGTCTTGAGGGAACAAATTCTTATAGTAGCACTATTACCAGACATCTCCTCGACACGGGTCATGAGGTGGAAATCGACAAATCCTTCAAAATTATCAATAGACAAAGGAGCTCGATTCTTCTCAAGTTTGCCGAGGCAGTTTATATCAAACGCTTGAAACCAGATTTATGTGTTCAGAAAGAAGCAGTTATTAGCCTTTCGTTGCCTTGGTAACTGGATGTCTTTTTTTTCTCATCTTTGTTTTTAACCTCATCCTCCTTTGATAATCTGTAATTTCGCTTGTCTCTTGTTTCTATAATTTGAGTTGAACTCAGTACATTAATTACCTAACTTATTAGTCACTATGCATCTAACACACATCTCATCTTTATTATGCAACTCCCTTACCATTATATGCATACATTTATTTTGTTTTAACTTGAACTGCCTGTGTGAAGACTATATAAGCGCAATTTTCTGAGCACTGTTTACTAATTGTGGAACTTTCTGTCAACTGACAACTGAAATGTAAAATTTGCAAGTATGTTAAAACGTTTCTGTACTTAAACCTCATAATTTATTTAGCTGTTATCATTATTATTGTTATTTCCATTTTACATGCTGCATGTTTTTGACATTACCCCTATTATAAATGTGGAAAATTTTCTGTGTGATTTATTTTATACTTATAATTTGAGGAAATTAGATGCAATAATATTGTGATTAATGCTGAAAATTCAATTCTGTATCACAAGTAGTGTTTTTGGAATAAAGTAAATCAGTATTATTATTATTAATGGATGAGAAAGAAAAGGAAGGAGAAATATCAAACATTACTCAAAATCTCAAGCAAAACAACTCCCCAAGGAACTTCATTAACAAAATCAACACAGACATTAAGTATGGTCGAAAACGTATTATGAAAACATAGACCTCAACAGTTGTCATTCCATATAGAGCAGAGACGTCAGACGATATCAGAATAGTAGTCAGTAACCTCAACGTCAGAGTTTTAATCAAAACATCAGACATACTGCGAAACAACCTTGTCCATAAAAAAAAGACCAAATCCCCAAGGATTCTCTATCCGATTGTGTCTACAAAATAAAATGCTTGGAATGCGATGTGCGTCGGTGGCACAGTGGTTAGGACTCTCGCCGACCATGCACATGGTCCGGGGTTCGAGCCCACGCCGACGCACACCTGATATCTATGGTCGGCCTGCGAAATTTGGGCTACCGATATCCATGCTGAAAATTCCATACTTGTACCAAAAATACGGTGTGGAATCAAGCTGTAATATACATCGGACAAGCCTCACTATAGAGAAATCAAGGTAATCAGAAGAAATGAACACTGTGGAGTGGGTGTCTTTTCGACCACCAAGGAATCCAGTTAGTGAACTAGAAAAGCTTGAAGAAAAAAACATCAGCCAGCCATAGCTCGTCTACACGCTACGCTATAGAATCAGACCACAAAATTGATTTTGACAATATTGAAATCATCATCCAGAGAAAACATTTCAGAAATCAAAAACAACGTCTCATATCATCAGAAGCACTTCATGCCATCAAATGGAATCCCAATTGTCCGATCTGGATAGAAATGATAGACTAAAACAGAATTTCACCTGGTTACAACACCCACCTGCCCCATCCCATGAAATGACGAAATCAACACGAATGTGTAAGCAATTTCATTATGTAAATACCCGCGGCTTTTATAATTTTATACATTTATTGAATCCAGCAATCTACATCTACCTGGTTTTGTTATCTTTACCAGTTGACCAACTTGACAAGGAGAAAATAACCCCATGCTGAGGAACGATGATTAAGTTGTTATATGTAAGCTGAGTGGATATGGTAAATTCTGGTTTAATAATACTACTACTTTGATAAAGCTATTAGCTGCAGCATTAAATAGGGAAAAGTCAGTAAAACCGACAACAATATCATTTTGTTTTTCATTCATTCACTGGGAAATACGAAAAGAAACCTTTATTATAATGAAGAACGACAGTGATTTTTGAGAATCTTCTCTGATCATGTTGTCTACCACGATATAACAACGGTAATTCAAAAAAAAGACTTTATATATATATATGTATAGTATTCATAACAGGTTTATATTACCTAGAATATATCTAAACCATTACAATATCTACAGCCAGGAATACAACCAGAACAGATATCTGGTAGTTCCAATATGAAATAATCATAAAAATCACTTAATCGCCATTTATATTCTTTTTTACATATTTGTAAATTACTACTGTTATTACTATTATTATTATGATTTGACTTATTCACAATGTCATTGGACTTTGTATAATTGGTTGAATTTAACAATCCCCTGTTGGTGATTCCGCCATTATTTTCTCCACTGGTTTCTTCCCTCTTAACACTTCCGTGCTGTTCATTCAACTCTTGATTTGTCATTTTAAACAACTTAATTTCATCATCTGATAATTTTAAATTGTTTGAATTATTCATTAACTGTTGTTTTTCACCTTTACATCTGTATACATTGATTATATCCGAATAAATATTTGAATTTGATGCATTCTCCTCACTATACATTACATTACATTGATCATTGAATGATTGAGCATTGTTTGAATTGTTTAAACCAACTGGAGATTTATGTACATATTTAAATTGGATGGAATTACGTATTAAATATCTAATATATTGTACACTTGGTATTAAACTGTCAATTGGTAGTCCACAAGCTCTACACATTGTAAATGTTAATGCCATGTTTAAATGATTCCTGGTTTCTTTTTCATGTGTTGTTGAAAATGTTGAATTTTGAAATGAATATCCATTGTTTTGATTATCATATCTATTAGAGAAATAAAATTTAAAAAATTATTTTATAAGATTATAGAAGTTCTTACTAGCAGTACATTTTTAACTTATTGACTTAATCGGTCGACTATTAACTGATATATTAAATTATAGGATTGAAACTCATTTGGTCAACTGCACATAAAGTTTCTTTAGAGTTTGAATTCAGTTAAGGGTGGCGTACTATGCAGTACAACCTCGCCTAGTTAAATAACTAGCTCGCTAGCTTTCTAACCGGTCTCTAGCCTGGGTAAAGAGGGAGAGTTGGGCATGGTTGGGCTAGCAGCCCGACACCACTAAATCTTTGAAATCGCTAGAGAAGCGTCAACACACAGAAAATATGTTATAAATACAAAAACTTTAGCTAACAACAGTCTTATTCTCCGCTGGAATTGAAGGCTGTTGAAAGCCTTCGGGAAGTCAGTCAGTCGATATGTCTTCTCCCGACGAAAGCAAGAGTAAGAATGGGTACGTGGAAGGCCCGGACACCAGACCAGACTGGACAGGCTGACCAGGTAGCCAAAGAGATGCGAAGATATGGCTTAGAAGTAGTGGGTATCTGAGAAAGCAGATGGAATGGATGTGTATTGACAACACTGTCAACAGGAGCGTCAATAATCTACTCCGGTCACTCAGACGAAAACCACGAGCACACTGAGGCAGTGAGTGGATATAGTGATGTCACCAGTGGCAGTTAAAACGTCCTAATGCAGTGGGGAACAATCACCTCATGGAGGATGGTGACAGCGACATTCAACTCTAAAGGAAGGTAGTCATCATCCAATGCCACGCTGTTATGTACTCGTCGCTAAAATTATTATGGACTGGTCGAGAAACTAAAAGTCCTGACGCAAGAAGGCGGAAATCAGAAGACCACTAGGGTTGCGATGATACTTCTATTTTTCCAACACAAGGAGAAGCAATAAGTGGTATCACACCAAAAGTAAGTAAGTCACACAAATTGTGAATGCGAAATATATATGAATGTTCCATACAAAGTGTGTGAACAAATCATTAGACAGTCTTAACATGAATGGCTAATTATAATGAAGTATCGATCCATATATACATAGCGAAATATAGCAGACATGTCAACAACCACCATATATGGATATATGTCACCAAGCAACGGACTGTCAACAAACACTCATATTATATATAATATAATATAAGGAGAATACACATTATTAAAGGAGACAAGTTCATACAAGTGAAATGGTCACAGACTAAGCGAGCAACAGAAAGAGAGACCAACATACACATATATATATATATAAATGGATATATATCACACTCACATTGCTATGAAGAACGCGGAACAAGAAAAGAAGGAGGACTCTTACAGACAACCACAAACAGTAATGGACAACATCCCAAACGGTGACATCAAAATCCTTATGGGTCATATGAACTCCAAACTGAGACTTGATAATGCAAGAAGAGAACTCATTGTGGGTCGAGAGGCTCTAGCTCGGAGAAATGAATCAGAACGGATAATTATTTGCAGTCTTCTGCTCTTTCAAAGGTTTGGTGATCGGAGGGAGCGTGTACAAACACAAGGATATACACAAAGGAACATGGGTTTCGCCGGACGGACATACCACAAACCGAATAGATTTCATCTCACTGTTACCCAAAGAAATGGAGACTCAGTTAGTATAGTGGATACGAAGTCAAGAAGTTGAGCAGGTGTGGGCTCATACCATTATCTAGTTCAAGAAACCTTCAAAGAGAAGCTGAAATCCACGAAAACAACTGGAGACAGACCACTGTAATTCAAGTTCAACATCGAGAAACTGAACTGAAGGACGAAACTACAAGGGATGTCTTCGCTTCAGATCAGATCAGAGCAAAGTCGGACACACCATGTGGCATCATTGAGGAAACCTGTGTGGGAGAACCTGGAACTCTCTGAAGGTGATGTTCAAGGAAACATGTACAACTGTTCTAGGAAGAAGGAAGAGACAAGACAAGGAATGTCTCTCAACGGACACCTAGGTGGAAACTAATAGAGGAGGGGAGGATGGTAAGAGTGCGAGAGTAGATGACCCAATGCAAAGATGGACAAGAGAATGAGAAGCTGAGTTCAATGTACACTGCACTGAATAAAACAGTAAAGAAGAGTGCTAGGAAAGAAAAATGATAATCCGACGACACACTGGCAACTAAAGCAGAGCACATTGGCAGAATAGGCCGCAGGCGAAAGAGACCTCAGGACATTATACTAGATAACCAGGTCTCTATCCGGGAAGAGATCAAGCCGGATGATGAGACCAATAAAAGATGCTCAGGGAACCTGATTATCAAGTAGGAGAAACAAATCAAAAAATGGGCTGATCACTTGAAAGGACTCTTGAATCGATTATCACCTGCAACTCGCCCAGAAATGCACCACCACCAACATTACGCACTGAACTGCTAGTGGACACCAATCCTTCAACGGAAGCTGGAATTCCGAACAAGATCAAGCTACTGAAGTCCGGAAGGCAGCAGAACCAGACGGCATTCCTCCCGAAGCAATGTGGCAAAGTTCTCATTGCATCACTGCAAAACGTTTGGCAAGAAGGAAAGGTGCCTACTGATTGGAAGAAGGGCTACCGCGTCAAACTGCCAAAGAAGGACAACTCAGGCCTGTGCAAGAACTGATTGGCGTGGAATAATGCTCTTTTCCACTCCAAGTAAAATACTAAGTCTCATCATTCTGGAGACAATTAAGAATGCACCAGATACAGAACTCCATCCACCAGAACAGTGCGTCGGTGGCACAGTGGTTAGGACTCTCGCCGACCATGCACATGGTCCGAGGTTCGAGCCCACACCGGTGCATACCTGATATCTATGGTCGGCCTGCAAAATTTGGGCTACCGATATCCATGCTGAAAATTCCATACTTGTACCAAAAATACAGTGTGGAATCAAGCTGTAAATTAAAAAAAAAACAAGCTGGATTCAGGAAAGGCAAATCATGTGCTGATCAAATTGTAACTCTACACATCGTTATCACAGATCAAAGCATAGAATGGTAGTCAAACATCCAATTAAAACTTCATCGACTTCGAAAAGGCCTTCATGAGACAGCGTAGACCGAGAAGTAATCCGGAAACTACTTCAACACTACAGTGTACCTCAAATCTTTGTCAACCTCATTCAAAAGCTAGCTATATGTAACTTAGGATGAAAAGACCAATCATCGCGTGTCTTACACATAAATCAGTTCATTATTTCTCTTTGAAATAAACACTCTTCCTTCTGAGTTCTTATTGAATCTAAACTCAGTAGCTAAATCATAAATGAAGCCATGGCAAGTAAAGCAGAACAAGCTGCAGGCAAAGAAGACCTCGCCACACTTTACCAAACAACTAGGTACATATCTGGCAAAAGTTCAACACAAATTAATCCAGTAAAGGATGACATTGGAAAGTCAATCATCAAAGAGGTGGAGCAAAGAAAACAGTGGGCTGAACACTTCAAAAGACTTCTAAATCGACTGCCACCTACAACGCGCACAACAATACCAACAACGGAAGCAGAAATACCAGTGAACATCGACCCCCGACGAAATCAGAAGTCTTGAAGGCAATCAAGATGCTATAAGCTGGAAAAGTAGCAGGAGTAGATGGCATCCCAGGACTTCGGCCGGAACAGGCTGGATTCAGGAGAAACATGTCATGTAATGATCAAATCGCCGCACTACAGATCATCATTGAACAAAGCTTAGAATGGCAGTCACCTCTCTATCTAAACTACATAGATTCTGAATAAGCATTCGACAGCGTCGATTGAGAGGTCATTTGGCAACTAGTTCGCTACTACGGGGTGCAACCGACAATTATACATCTCATCCAACAGTTGTACGACAATGCTGAATGCCAAGTAATCCACAACGGGAAACTTACGGAATCCCTCGAAGTAAAGACGGGAGTGAGGCAAGGCTGTCTACTATCGCCAATGATTTTCCTGATTGTAGTAGATTGGATAATACGACAGACAACGGCCAACGAGGGAACGGGAATAAAATGGACTCACACAAAAGACTTGGAGGATCTGGATTTCACCGATGATATATGTCTGATTTCCCACAAACTGGAAGATATGCAAGTGAAAAGCAACAGGCTGGCAGAAGAAGCATCTAGGATAGGACTTCAGGTGAACATAGAGAAAACAGAGATGAAGATTCCTGGGAAACACCAACAGCAAAAACATTAAGAGACAATAATCAGCATAAATGAGAGGAATATGAAGGGAGAAACCTCTTTTAACTACCTGGGAAGCATCGTTTCAAAACTGATGAGGATATCAAAGCAAGGATTGGAAAAGCAAGACAAGCTTTCATTTCTCTCAAGTCTGCATGGAGGTCAATAGCACTACTCAGCATCAAAATGAAAATAAGATTTGGATTTTCAACTCCAATGTGAAGTTAGTCAGTGCAACTGTACGGATCAGAGACTCGGCGCGTCATAAAGAGCACCTCAAACAAACTTCAGACCTTCATCAACAGTTGTCTTCGCTCAATACTCAAGATCAGATGGCCGGCCAGAAAAGATCAGCAACAGTGAGGGATCTATGGTAATGAGCGAACCAACCAGGAACCGATTGTGCAACAAATAAGCAGGAATAAATGGAAGTGGATTGGCCTTACTCTGAAGAAACCAGTAAGTGACATCACTAGACAGGCCATCACTCGATTGGAATCCGAAAGGGAAGCGGCGAGTTGGTCGTCAGTGTGAGGGTGACTTGGAGGAGGTCATGGGTAAGAGGAGATGAAGGCTTGTGGGCAGATTTGGAACCAGGTGAAAACTCTAGCAGAGAACTGAACGCAATGGAGACGTGCGTGGTGGAAGCCCTATGTTCCTCTAGGAATTAAAGGAAACAATAATAATAATAATAGATCATAAATGAAATATGTTCACTGAAAAAGAAATACCACTTACTTATCATAAAATTTTTGTTCAGATTTCATCGGCTCACTGTAAACTTCATATTGTTGACTTTGAAATTGACAGACAGCATACCCGTAGACTTTTACTTCATTCATTAATTCACTCCGATCATCATCATCATTCTTATTTAAATGTTCATCTTGAGTTTCACCACCGTCACCGCTGTCACTCCTACAATCCGTACCGCTGCCATCTCTGATATTATTGCCGCCTTTCCCTTTACTTCTATTACCCCTACTATGAATATCATGATTACTGATGTCACTAACACTTCTACAGCCTCTACTACCTCGATTTCCAAGGTTTCTATCACTGCCTTCATCACCACCCTGTCTACTTCTACTACCACGACAATGCCTACTGTTGTGGTTAACACTTCCATCGTCAGTGTCACTAACATCGACACCAGTGAAAAATAACTCTTCCATTTGTCTTTTCCATTCATTATTCCCCTGTTTAGATTTTTTAAATGTTTTTTTAAAATCATAATCCCGTAGATTCCAAACTAATTTTTTGATAGTCTTTTTTATCACAACAACAGATTGAGAATTTTTTATTTGAATAGCACCATTCATGAAAGCGTTTGATATTTCATTGGTCATAGTAGAATCAGTTGATAATACTGGTGTTGATAAATTGGCGTCTTTAGCAGATTGTTTAGTTGATGTTTGAAAGTTAGTCAGCACATCTTCATGAGTGTTAATTTTATCGCCTAAAGGACATGAACTTTGATCCCACTCACTATAACTTTGACAGGGTTTCACTTTTGATTCATGCGTAAGGATACGTGGTTGACATAATACCTGAAGATAAGGAGAAATATAAATCAAACGAATGTTGACTTTATTATTCAAAAAGATAAACTGTAAATATAGTCTTAAAAATATTAAATATACATCCAGTAGGCTGACGAGTCCCAAATAGGACGAAGTGCGCGCTATCCTGGATTCCACTGCTAGTCACCATCCATCATTTAAAATTCTGATTAAATATGTTTTTTCTTGGTTGTCAAGTGTTCATTTGCAGGGATTTGATTGAATGCTTACAGGATTTATCCCTAGCTGACAGTGGTACTTCAGGTTTCCTAATGGTTCTCTAACAGATATCACCTGGTGATCAATTCTGTAACCAATCAAATCCCTGCAAATCAACACTAAATAAATAATCTAATGCTCACTAGCGACTGGCTCTATACAGGGGGGTTGTATTGAGATGTTGTAACCAGCGAGGTCCACAAAGTTGGGCCTGTGAAACTGGGTGGCGGTTGAGCTAAATATATGTATCACGAATTTGGTTGGAAGTTGGAATTTATGGAGCATTTGGGTTGGGACACATTAGCTGAGTGGTCAGCGTGCTCTCCTGGCGGTGCGAGAGCCCTGGATTCGGACCCTGATGGATGCGTACTGCTGGGAAGTCCTGAGTTCGGACGGAACGACTGTGTTCCCAGGTTTCTTTATGATTTTATAGCTGATACTGTTTTAAGTGTTAGTTTGCAGGGATTTGGTGGGTTACAGGATTTCATCATGAGTTGACATTAGTTAGAGAACCATTGGAAAACCTTGAAGTACTGGACAGCTGTTTCGTCCTAGTTTGGGGCTCTTCACCAGTACGCACCCACCACAGGGAGTTCGAACCCAGGACTTTCTGGTTACAAGGCTAGGGAGCTTGCATACCATTAAGCCACTGGGACCCGATCCGATGGCCAGTAAATGAATTCTAATTTCTGCCAATTTACGATATAGCGGAACCGCCAGCGAATGTCTTCGGCGAGTATTTGTCCTCACACCCAACCTGCTGCACCCTACTGGTCACGACTTCCCACTGGAACCCCAGGTAACTACCAGCCTCAATAGGGCCAATCGCCAGTGAGTCTCAAGCTAGGAACGAAACAGCTGTCCAGTGCTCCCAGGTTTTCCAATGGTTCTCTAACCAATGTCAGCTCATAATGAAATCCTGTAACCAATCAACCAAATTCTTACAAGCCAATACGTGGATAACAAGGTTGGCTTCGTCACCAGCCGAAATAAATTCTGGCCTGGGTGGGAACATGGTTGCGCTGTATTGAAGAGTCTAAAACTAGGACGAGACAGCTGCTGTTCACCAATCCCCTAACTAATGTTGGCTTATGAACCTGTATTATATTAGTTTACCTACTGCAGAGAGTAAAGATATTGTAGTTGTGTGATACATAAAGAGTGTGTGCCAACGGAATATTATTCTCACATGTTTCCATAGTTCAATCATGCATTGGCAACAGAATACTATATGTGTATTTGAGCATTCTATTTCATGTCGGTTGATATAAACAGACATAACACACTCAGTAATTGGTTAAAGAATGTGGACTGTAGGTGTATAAACAGCGGTTTGATTAGTGAAAAATACACATTAGCTTCCGTGTCTTGCCATCTGTTGTTCCATTTGGTGTCTCTACCTGCCAACAAATGGAAAGTCTTTGCCCTAAAGTTTTTGATGGAGACATATGGATCTACGTGCAGGACTTCGAGGCTGTTGCTCAGTCGAGTGGCGATCAAGATCCCTTATCGATGAGGCTGTTACTTCGAATGCTGCTTGGAGGTCGGACGACGGCAGCAGCAAATGATAGCGTGAGGCGAAACACCGGTGAATACGAGCTAGGGTCATGCAAACTGCTTCCAAAGCTGGAAGGACCATACATGGTCACCGTGAGATATGGGGTCATGTATATATGATCAGAAATGCAAACAACGAGGAGCAGGTGAATGTCAGCGAGTTCCGGAACTCAGTACTGCAAGACAAGCTAACAAAGTCGCCAGCACCAAGATGATCCAACCGAAATCTGTCGAAAGTTTTTGACCGGGGAAGGGGGCGAGTGTGGTGGTGTGATACATACAAAGTGTGCCAACGGAATGTTATTCTCACATGTTCGTACGGTTCAATTTAGTATTAACAACAGAATATGATATATCTATTTGATGTTAGAGACAGAATACTATTCACACAGTTCAATACTACCACACTGGTAACAGAATACTATGTATAGTTGAACATTCTATTTCTTGTTATCACACGCTCAGTCATTGGTTAAAGAATATAAAATGTAGGTACATAAACGAATATGCAGGAGAAAGTGGAGATGGATTGGATACTCGCTGAGGAAACCGCTGGGTGATATCGCGCGCGCGTCAGGCCATCACTCGAGTGGAACCGGGCCGAAAGTGAAGCGGAGAGTGGGTCGTCAGTGCAAGGGTGACATGGAGGAGATCGTGTAAAGAGGAGATGAATCAGCATGGACTAACATGGGTGCAGGTGAAAAGTACAGCAGACGACAGAAACGAGTGGAGACGTGCAGCTGAAGCCCTATGTTCCACTAGGAACCCAAGGGAACAACAATAATAATACAAACAACGGCTCGATTAATGAAAAATATAATAATAATAATAATTTACTTTATTCCAAAAACAGTACTTGTGATACAGAATGGAATTCTCAGCATTAATCACAATATTGCATCTAATTTTCTCAAATTATAAATAAATTAATCAGACAGAAAATTTTCCACATTTACAATAGGGGTTATGTCAAAAACATGCAGCATATAAAATGGAAATAATAATAATGATAACAGCTAAGGTAATAATAATACAAGTGAAACTGCCGTGGGCTTGTCTCACACAGTATTGTCGACTCGGTATAGAAATCCTAGCATGTTTAAAAATATTGAATATAATGTTCTCTTTACATGATATGGTGAGGGGAAAAACAAAGATTACAGCAGTCATAGAGATAAGTTGGTATTTGCAATTATGAAAGTAAAACAAACAAAGAAGCAACTGGACCATGAATATAATAGAAATAATAAAAGTAAAACTTGAAGGTATATAAGGATGGACGGATGGAGGAAATTGTTTATTTACTAGATGAAAAAAGGTTAGTTAATTCTTGCCTGACACTATTTTCATCATCACATAAAATACGTGCCGCCAAGTATGGTATCATAGAATTTTTATACTTAGACGTGCGAGCATACAGTTTTCTGAAGTTACTCCTTGTTCTACCTAAGGAGATGCAAGGTGAAAGTTGAGGGTAAAGTGGATGCTCCAAGTTGATCTCTGACGAAATCTCAGCACGAATACAGGGGGCTGGTCTCGCATTTGCCAGTTTACGCCGACTCTGGCGTAGACGAGATGTTCGACTATCGACCAAAGGGCGGGTGTACCGCCCATCAGTCCGCTCCGTCCTCCTTTATGGACTGCTGTGAGACCTGGCCACTGAGAGTGGAAGACATGAAAAGACTAGCTGTCTTTGATCATAGGTGCCTGCGCTCTATTTCCCGTGTAAAGTGGCATAATAAGGTGAGCAACATGGAGGTTAGGCGTAGAGTTCTAGGTAAACAGGGGAAATCAATCGACGAAGTCGTGAGGCTACAAAGACTGAGATGGTTAGGACATGTGTTACGTATGCCAAGCCATCGCCTCCCTCGATGAGCAATGTTAGCGGATATAGGGTCAGGGTGGAAAAAAGCTAGCGGCGGTCAAACAAAAACTTGGCACCAGTCAATGAAATCCACAACAGTTGGTCTAAGCCACGTAGGAAGGTGTAGACTTCCAGGCTGGGGTCCTCGGGACGGTAAAAACCAATGAATGGGTGGAAACAATTGGTGACATGGCTCAAAATCGTTCTCAGTGGCTAGCGCAGATGTATCCACTCCTTGTGACTTATGATCTCCAATGAAACTGTTTTGTTTTTCTTTATTACTCCTTTGTCTCACACCTCTGCTCACTGTCTCTATTATGCTTTTCTTGTACTTTCTTCTCTTGCTTCGCGTGCTACACGGAGTGTGGGACTTGAACTTCCGCACATTTGTGTAAAGTTCTATGTCGAAAACAGACAGACAGCGATACTACTATTCTTTTTGTCTCATATCCCTGTCTACTGTCTCTGTTATGCAGTTCTTCTACTTTCTTCTGTTGCTTTGTGTGCTACAAGGAAGGAGTGTAGCGACTTGAACTGCTGCACATCGGTACAAAGTTCTCTGTTGAAAACAGACTGACAGACAGTTGGTTTAATACGGTTAGGATTAATGAAGTCAGGTGTAAATAAGGGAGTAAAACCAACATGAAGTTGTCAAGCTGCATTGATTCACGTGGCTATGACATGTTGAGCAGCGTTGGTTGACACAGATTTGGTTTACCAAAGCATTAATGGTTGGTCAAGCCAAAACACAGAATCTAATCAATCGACGGGAAATACGAAACAATTGTCCAGTACTCCCAGTTGGTTTTCCAATGGTTCTCTAACCAATGTCAGCTCATGATGAAATCTTGTAACTTTAACAAAGTTTGAACTCAACCAGAACAGGCTTTTCTGTTTTTAGGTAACTGGCTTTAAGCCATACTCATCATTATGTGTGACTGAGGAATAATGATACTATCCAGTTGTCCACAGACCGAAGTAGGTGGAGGAGCAGACTCGAATCTGGAACTTATCGGCTAAATGTTGAGAGTACTTAAGAGTAGTCAATGAACGACATCTCCGCTAAACGCAGAATACAAGCAGCCTTGTCTTTTTACACTGTGAATTTAGCTATGATAAGTATATATAATCAAGGTTAAGAGAATAATATAATAGTAAACAGATGCGATTCAGTTCACATGATTGTATGATGATGACGGCCTAGCCTTCAAATTTAGCCACTACCAACCAATCACATGACTAACTGTGTAAAAAGGAAATAAAAATAAATAAACAATAGAAATATTTCCATGCAAAAATGTATGTAATAGGTAGAATAAAACAATAAGTATAAATAAATACACCTGTGACAATAAGCCTGATTATTATCCGTCGTAGATATCGTGACACAAATTTTCGATAGACTACCTACCTAGCCCTTTCCCATACACACACACACACACACACACACACACACATAGGGAATAAAGACCACGGGTAATGGGCCCAGTGGACTGACTGTTTTCTCCTTCAAGTTGTCTCATTCCCATGCAACATCGAGTCTGTCTGTCTGTTTTCGACATAGAACTTTGCACCGATGTGCAGCAGTTCACGTCGCCACATTCCCTCAATGTAGCACACAAAGCAAGAAAAGAAGGTAGAAAATATGCATAATAGAGACAGTAAACAGAGGTGTGAGACGGAGGAATGGTAATAACGAAGAACAAAACAGTTTCATTGGGAATTATAAGTCATAACAAGTGGATGCATCTGCGCCACTGAGAACGATTTTGAGCCATATCATCGATTGTCTCCAGCTTTCATTGGTTTTTACCGTCCCAAGGACTCCAACCAGTCAGGAAGTCCACACCTTCTTACGTGACTGGCTTAAACTAAATGTTGTGGATTTCATTGACTGATGACCAAGTCGTGTTTTGCTTTGACCGCCGCTAGCTCTTTTCCAGCCTGACTCTATGTCAGCTAACATTTCCCATCGTCTAGGAAGGCGATGGCTAGGCTAGACATACGTAACACATATCTTAACCATCTCAGTCGATGTAATTTCACATCCAACTCGTCTATTGACTTCCCCTTCTTATCTAGCACTCGACGTCTAACCACAATATTGCTCACCTTATTATATCACTTCACATGGGAGATAGAGCGCAGGCACCTATCATCAAAGACAGCTACCCAAGCTTTTCATGTCTTCCACTCTCAATGGCCATATCTTGCTTACAGCCATAAAGGAGGACGGAGCGGACTGATGGGCAGTACACCCGCCCTTTGGTCGATAGCCGGATATCATGTCTACTAAGCCAGAGGCGACGTAAACTGGCATATGCGAAATTAGCCTTCCCTTTATCCGTTCTGAGATTTCGTCAGAGATCAACCCGTTGGGGCTGATGGTACTTCGCAAATAACAACAACATCGAAACACGCAACTGTATGCATAGCACTTGTATGGATCATCTCAATATTAAGCAGTTTAATTTGATTTTATACCCTGTGTTTAAGCTGAGGCTTTGTCGGTTGTAGGTGACGGAGTTTCAACATCGAATCTTGCACAGAATCGCAATACTTCAAGTTGCCACAAAAGTAGAGTAAAGAGAGGAGAAAATAAAAAAAATAAAAAGAAGATAATCTATAGTTTGGTTTGTAAGGATTAGTTTTGTTTTAACGAATTGATCACGGATTGTTATCAGTTAGAGAACTATTGAAAATCAGCCACAGGGAGTATTGGACAGCTGTTTCGTCCTAGTTTGGAAATTATCGGCAGTACGCACCCACTGCCAGGGGTCGAACCCAGGACCTTCCGGTTACAAGGTAGAAGTTAGAATTCACGAGCCATTGAATCGGGTTCCAGTGGCTGAATGGTATACGAGCTTATCTTGTAACCGGAAGGTCCTGGGTTCGACTCCTGGTTGTCGATGCGTACTGCCGATAATTCCCAAACCAGGATGAAACAGCTGTCCAGTACTCCCTGGTTTTCAATGGTTCTCTCACTGATATCAATCCATGATCAATTCGTTGAAAGAAGAAGATTCACAGGAACTAAAACGAGCAGAGATGGACAAAGTTCAACGACAGCGTCCTAGGGGATACGAACGCACGAGTGTTCTTCAGCTGACCAATCATAAGAATAAGTGATTTTTGCACAAAAATTGACGTATATTTACAAGAAAATGCATTAAAACACATTAAAAAGGATATCTTTCTCTGACATGACTTAAAAATACATCCCAATTATAATGAGAAGTATTAGTTGGTAAATTAGACTAGTTTCTCTACATCTATTCACCGAGTTGACTGAAGATAAGCTGTTTTTTGTGAATCAATTATCTCTTTTTTCCTGTTGTGCAGTTTTCCTCAAAAGCCCTCAGTTGAATTCCTATGGTTTGTAGTAAGAGGATCGATGACTACTTACCAAGGGAAATGTGGATAATAAAACAAGTTACAATAAATGACATCAACTATAAATCTATCCTTAATCTTCACCCTAATTACAACCCTTATCCTAAAAGTAAACCTAACCGTAACCCTAAAGAGCTATTATCACATTTTCCAAACAGTACTTAAAAACGTAATCTGGGTGAAATTTGCTCCGTAGCTGGTGAATAGCATTGATATTTCAGCTATGATAATGACAGGTGGTGTTAGCCGACGACTAGCACACGTTCAAGGTCATTTGAGTATTCGCACTCCTGGGATGCCTGTTGTTGAACTTCGCCCAGAAATGAACGGGAGAAAGAAAAGTAATATGAGAAACACATGTGAGGATTTAGCTGACCTCGAAGATTACAAAGACTGAATGAATATGTGGACCAGTGAGCACTGATCGATCTTCAGTATAGAGTGAAGACAGTTAGTTATTAATAAAGGTCTGCAACAGGCTGTTGAAAATATTCTTTGTGACCCGCCAAGCTTCTGATCCGTATAGAAGAACTGACTGACTTGACGTTGTTTGTATTGAAAATCCGATAATAAGGAGTCCAAATCATCAGTAGTAATTTCATACAAGGAAGGAACATCGGAAATCTTACGCAGAATTCTTAACAAGGCAGGTAGGAATAAAAGTGGCTGGCATTCAAACCAACCAACCACAAACTCAATTAGAAACAAGCTTTGTCGGTTAAACAGTCAATCCTGCGGAGCGTTTAAAACAAAACAATTTAGTTTATGTAATACCCTGCCTGCAATAACTGTCAGGTCAAATACATAGGTCAAAGTAGTAGAACAGGAGCAGTCAGACTAGCCAAGCATAAAAACCTAGCAGTAAAATTAAGATTATTTGACCCGAATAAGATAAGAAATCTGGAGAATAGTTCAGCTATAGCACTACGCCACATGCAATTACACACACACACACAACCATACAATAGGCTGGATGGGATAAGATGACAGTTTTAAAATCTAATACAACTGACAGAGTAAAGGGAGCTTTGTTTATCGGATCAACTGCAAAATCAACATGTGTAATAGGGATAATTCAACACCTGTCCACCCAAATATCTGGAAAATCCTACTACTACTACCTCCAACGACGACAAATAGGAGAGAACAAAGAAGACTATAGCACTCAAGTTTCGAAGTCGTGTGATTATAATTGATGATGAAATGATTATGAACAGTAATAAATATTGTTCGAAACTTTGTCATCATCACTGTGTGATGATACATCTAATAAACAAACTAATATGAAATGACTTACTACCACAGTGGACAAGTTTTACACATATAGTAAATATGAGTATTGAACAATCAGAGGAAAAAGAAGAAAGAGAAAAAAAATAACTAAAACTCAACTCACCGACAACTTTCATTTTATTCTCTGCTACAGCATTACACGATGGACAATTCATTGTGATAGACATCACTTCATCTTTTTCAACAGGTTTTGTAGGCTCATCAACTGGCTCCTAGAAAAGACAATTTCTTTTAAAGAAGAAAACATCAATTACAAAAGTTCATTAACAGTCAGTTGCTTTCGCTAACTCGATAGTGAATATCAGATGACCGGTCACAAAAAGGATTAGAAAGTGGTATCCGTCAGGGATTCCTAACAATGTCCCCATTTCTCTTTAGTTTTCATCATAGTTGTACTAAAGGAATTCACCCTAATACCCTTCAGACAGCCAGGGATTGACCTATTACCATCAGAGAATAATCTCGTTGACTTAAAAGACACGAATTAGATATACTCCTGCTCCTAGGTGAAGACGCTGACAAAATAGAGTAGAGTCTTCTTAACACCTTCAGCAGCAATCTATGAATGTTTGACATGCGATTTGACCCCATCAAATGATTCTACAAGACTGGACTAGCTTAGAAATAGGGAGTGAAGTGGTTAGTGGAGTGTGTTCACCACTTCACTTATTTGGGAAGTTGCATCAGCCCCAACCCCAGTGGTTTGGTCGTGGACGAAATCTCAACGCGGATAACAAAGGCTTGTTTGGCACTAGCTAAATTACGCCGTCTCTGGCTTAGTAGACGTCATATGTGGCTGGCTGCTCAGCAGTTCGCTCTGTCCTCCTTAAAGTCTACTGTGAGATATGACCATTGAAACTGGGAGGTACAAAAAGGCTAGCTGTCTTCGGTAGTTGGTATAATAGGGTGAGTAATATTGAGGTTTAGGCATCGGTCGAGTCTTAGGTGAGCAGGAAGGGAAATCAATCGACAAAGTTGTGAAGTTACATCGGTTGAAATGGTTAGGACATGTGTTGTGCATGGCTAGCTGAATCTAGTCATCGCCTTCCTCGACGGGTAATGTTAGCTGACATAGGATGGATCAGGTTGGAAAAGAGCTAGCGGCGGTTTAACGAAAACATGGCTTTATCAGTTAGTGAAATCTACAACAGCTAGTTTAAGTCACGTCAGGAGGTGTAAACTTCCCGGTTGGGGTCCTCGGGATGGTACAAACCAGTGTCTGGAGGCAATCGATGATATGGCTCAAAATCGTTTTCAGTGGAGCAGATACATCCACTCCTTGTGACTTATAATACCCAATGAAACTATATTGTTCCTCGATACTACTATTCTTTTTGCCTCATATCTGTGTTTACTGCCTCTATTTTGCATTTCTTTTAACTTTCTTCTCTTGCTTTGTGTACTGAGTGAAGTATGGCGAGTTGAACTGCTGCACATCGGTGCAACGTTCTATGTTGAAACCAGTCAGTCAGTTATAAGAAACAAGGAATTCTACAACAAACCAATCAAGAACCTTTCCTCCAACAAATATACAAAATGAAATGGAGATAGCTAAAGAGATGTATGCGTCGGTGGCACGCACAGAGGTAGAACTCTCGGGAACCACGCCATACATGGTCCGGAGTTCGATACCTCCACTGACGCACTCGTTTACCTAGCTAAGCCAGTAATAAGACTGGTAAAGAAGAAGGAAGGTTGACCATGAGACCAGCAACAACCTCATCCCGTGAAAATAAACAAGCACCACTGCTACCGAAACTTCAAGTCTCTAGCCTGAAGCCCTATGCTCCACGGAGAAAGCAAAGGAATTTAAAAAAAGAGAGATAGTAGAGTGATACCCTGTGCCAAGCCCTTGGATAGAATCCCGGTGAGAAACAACGAGTTAGGCGGGTGTCCGAGGGTAACAACATGAAAGAGGTGAAAGCTTTTAGGTGGCAATTGTGTGCAGTCAGCTAAAAAGGACCAAAGAGAATAAAGTGAAATAGAAATGCGCTGTTGATGCCCTATGTCTCACTCAGAACCGAAAGGGATAATGATAATGATAATAATAACATAATGACTCATTCACTTACTTCAGGAATTGTTTCAGGGATATTATTCGCCTTATTGAATAATTCCAAAGGTGGTTGTGGTTGAAGACCAAGTAAATCGTTTTGTTCTGGAGTACGTTCATAAATGGAAATTTCAATTTGAGGATCATCATTTGGAGCTAGATAATTTTCAATGAATCCATTTCCAGACGGATCATCAATAATCTAGATATTTTTGTATTCATATATCAAAAAAGATTGGCAGTTTAGTGGGATTGAAGAAGTTCAATATAACAGTGAAAGAAAGGTAAGTGAAGCAGTAAACTAAGTCAAGTAGTGTTAAATATTTAGGAATTAATCACATCAGCTGACATTGGTTAGAGGACCATTAGAAAACCAGCCACAAGGAGTACTGGACAGCTGTTTCATCAGCCTAGTTTGGAAATCATCGGCAGTACGCTCCGACAGCCAGGGGCAGAACCAAAAAAAATTCCGGCTACAAGGCAAGCTCGTATACCAGCCAGCCACTGGGACCCGGATCCTTTAATGACCAGTTCATGAATTCTAACTTCTACCAATTCGTGATTTAGCGCAACCACCAACCGATGTTATCGGTGGGACATCCATCCACACACGTGACATTTAATTGGACCTCACTGGTCACGACGTCTCACTAGAACTCCATCCTGTAGCAAATCATTTTGCGTTCCACAGTGGAACATAGGGGACTTCAAGCTTCAACTTTTAGAAGTTTCAGAAGCAATTTTTGTCCTTTAACGGAATGAGGGTTGCTAACCCCCCCCCAACCTTCCCTATTTACCGGAGCTTAATTCCGGCTAAGTGAGGTTTAGCAGTGGTGTCGACCGTGGATAGAAGCTCAGGCCACATAAGCATGGTTCGGTAAGCATTCATTCTACCACTGAACCACCGACGCAGGTGGTGTATGTTGAAGACGAAGTAATCTAGTTGGTAGGAAGCTATGAATGACAAGTCTCACTCTTCTCGAAGTTCACATTATCTATTCCAGGAAGGAAATTAACACAGCGCTATCGAGATTTGAATCTCCAGACTGAAAATATACTCTTGTTGATATGAATGCCCGAAACCAATGAAATTACTCATCACTGTTGTCCTATATCATAATATAGTCTCTAGTTTAGATAGAGGAGCTAAATACGGTCGGTGTGCCTTCCTTGATTACACATCTGCATTTGACTCTGTACCTAGGTCTCTCTTGCTAAGTAAGCTTGCTGTAACACAGGCTGAGAGCTGAACAAATAAGTGGTTGCATTCCTATTTTTCTGATAGGAAGCAGTACACCATCTACAATGGAAAGTCCTCCACTACCTCACTTACTTTAGCTGGTATTCCTCAAGGTGCTCTTCTTTCTCCTTTTCTGTTTTCTTACATGACTTGCCCCATTCTGATGTGGCCACTTTTGATAAGTATGCTGATGACATCTCTGTTTCTATGCCTGTCAACTCTCAGTCAGATTGTTCCAAATTAAATAAATTTCCGTTGGAAATTAGTCAGTGGTCCTCATCAAACGGTCTTAAGCTGAATCCATCTAAATGTCAAGTAGTCAATTTCACTTTCAGACGAAAACGTGACCTACAACAAATGGCTAGCTCACATGGCCCCACTATCATTGACGGCATAGAGGTTGAAATTACATCTAATGTCAAGTACTTTGGACTGAGTATTTCCTCCAATCTTTCCTGGTCCTCCTACATCTTGCTAGTTACTAAAAAGATGCTTCGCTTAACCTTCTACGTTAGGAAGTTAAGGCACTCTGGTATAAAGCAGTCTTTGCTTTCTCAGTTTGTCAATTCTTGTATTCTACCCATCCCTCTTTACTGTTCCCCATTAATCTTTCCTGGACTACTTAAGAAAGACTTTGCTTTGCTGAGAAGGGCACTAAAAGCCGTTAGTAGGGCAAGTGGGATATCGTTAAACCAACTGGTTAACACTATTGTGGACAGACATATAATGTCATGTAAGAAACTAGCGAATACTATACTGTCAGACCCCAAGCATCCTCTCTATACGCGGCTCTCTCATCGCTTTTCATTTGATAGAACTAGAAGCAGCTATAGGAGGCTATATGCTAGGACTACCAAGTACAAAAACTCCACAAAACCATATCTGACACAGCTGTTATGTGATGAGAAATCCGTTAGGTATGACACGATAAACTTACTGCGGCACTCTAACAAATAGTCCCATTAGCTTTTGTTTTCCTTTCTTCGTTACTATTACACTGTTGTTCTCATCTTCTATTACACATCAACTTTATATTTCATATCCCGTGGTGCATTGTTTAAAGTATACACGCAACGCTGTTCTTTTTATTTCATTTTATTTATCTTTTTTGGTTGTTGCTTTTTGATTTTAAAATCTTATAGAATTTATGAGGTAATTAGATGCAAGATATTGTAATGCACGCTGAAAACTCCATACCTGTACCACAAATACTGTTTGGAATAAAGCTGTTATTATTATTATCATTTAGATTAGTGTGACCAAACTGCACGATTGATAGATTTCGATTAACACTGAAGACCAACTAAAAATTGGTTTCCAGAAGGACAGAGCACTCATCCAAAGACCAGAACGATATGTAGTTTCGCCTGGTAGTGCAACCACATCTACCTCTAGCAAAAGAAATGGTTAGTTGGCTTAAGCACTCGACTTTTAGCCAACAGACCAGGATGTCCGATCCCCCTTCCAACCCCCGCCGTCTACTCTCCACTTAATTCGACCTGAACAACTGGGTAGAATGGCCAGCGCTTACACACTAAGTGCCGTTTATAGCCCAGCGCATATGCAAAATTTGTTCTGGACATCTGGATTCTAATTTAAACCCCCTAACTAACGTCTTTATTGGTTACTGCCTGTCTGTCTGGTGGTCGATTCACATGAACAACTCCCTAACTTCTTGAAAGATGAAGTACCTACACTAGACTAACCACTTCATATTGTATCTACGAATTCAACTGAGCTTGTGGTGGAGCAAGTTATATTGGCCGTTGCTCTAGGAACTTGATTTTTCGCTCTCTCTCTCTCGAGAACATCTTCCACTATGGCTAAGTAAAGGTGTAGTGAAAACCATTAACAGTTCGATATTGGACCATCTGGTGCAAACCGGCTGGCCACAAAGCCAGCCAGCATTGAAGATTTCTTCTCTATCATCTACCGGGTGCCTAATAAATTGCCAAAATCATCATCGAAGCACAACATGCTCCAAACAGCAGAGGCTATTGCAATTCGCCTCAAATAACCAGTGCTCTGTGTTCAAAAGAAGCAAGTCCAGCCAGCCACTACTGCCCTGACCAACAGAAGAGACTATAAATTCATGAATTTGTAATATTATCTTTCCTAATTTTTCTGTCTGATATTCAGCTTATTTTATGTTGATGCTATTGAGTTGTAATCCATTGATGTTATTATTGATTCAATGTTATTTAAACAGCATTAATCTTTGTTGTTCATAACACTAATTCATTCATTTGTTTACTATAATGTATAGATAACTGTAGAGCCTGATGATGAAGGGGTTATCGAAAAGAGTACTCTTTGTTCAGTATCCATTCTTTTGAAAAACTTGTGAATTCCCAGGAGTGACTGATGAGTTCCGAATAAAGTGAAGAAAAAAAGACATGCTGACTCCCTACTGAGATAGTCCAACTATATACCAAATCAAGCTTCTCTAACTGTTTAAAAAAAGAAGGCAAAAGACAAATTAGAAAAAAAAGGTATAATTAGGTTAGATTAGTGAATAATCTACAAATAGACTTACAATTGTAAATGGCTTGTCTAAATTTAATAAATTACACAATTGACGCATAAAACTTTCAATTTTCTCTGCCAAGTCTGGATCAGCTTGCTGTTAACACGAATATATACATACAAAATTACAATGAGAACATACCTTTCTTTCAGGTTGTAAACTGTTTAAATTGTCTACCACTGTTGTAAGTGTTCCTTCAACAGTTGATAAACCTTGAGAAGACAAACAGAGTACAAATTAAAGACATGAAAGAATCAACACAATTAACTCGCACTTATTATTATTATTGTTTCCTTTAATTCCTAGAGGAACATAGGGGGCTTTAGCCAAGCAACGTCTCCACTGAGTTCGGTTCTCTCTCTACTAGAGTTTTCACCTGGTTCCAAGTCTGCCCACATGCTTTCATCTCCTCTTCACATGACCTCCTCCAAGTCACCCTCACACTGATGACCAGCTCGCCGCTTCCCTTTCGGACTCCACTCAAGAGATTTTCTAGTGATGTCACTTGATGGTTTGTTTCCTCAGAATATGGCCTCTAATCCACCTCCATTTATTCCTGTAGATTTGTTGCACAATCGGTTCCTGGTTGGTTCGCTCCCAGAGATCCCTGTTGTGGATCTTTTCTGGCCATCTGATCTTGAGTAGTACTGAGCGAAGACATGTTGACGAAGGTCTGTAGTTTGTTTGAGGTGTTCTTTATGGCGCGCCAAGTCTCTGATCCGTATAGTAATTAGCACTGACTTCACATTGGAGTTGAAAATCCGGATCTTATTTTTTATACTGAGTGCTGTTGACCTCCTCACATACTTGAGAGTAATGAAAGCTTGCCTTGCTTTCCCGATCCTCGCTTTGATATCCTCGTCAGTTGCGTCCACCTGTAGTTGAAACGATGCTTCCCAGGTAGGTAAAGGAGGTTGTTTCTTTCAGGTTCCTTCCATTTATGCTGATTGTTGCTTTTGGCGTTTCCCAGGAATCCTAATCAACTCTGTTTTCTCTATTATTTATTTATTTTTATTTTTTTATTTTTGATTACAGCTTGATTCCACACCGTATTTTTGGTACAAGTGTGGAATTTTCAGCATGGATATCGGTAGCCCAAATTTTGCAGGCCGACCATAGATATCAGGTGTGCGTCAGCGTGGGCTCGAACCTCGGACCATGTGCATGGTCGGCGAGAGTCCTAACCACTGTGCCACCTGAAGTCCTATCTTTGATGCTTCTTCTGCCAACTTTTTGCTTTTCACTTGCATATCTTCCAGTTTGTGGGAAATCAGACATATATCATCGTCGAAGTCCAGATCCTCCAAGTATTCTTTTGTGTGGGTTCATTTTATGCCTCTCTCCTCGTTGCTGTCTGTCGCATTATCCAATCTACTGCAGTCAGGAAAATCATTGGAGATAGTAGGCAGGCAGCCAGCCAGCCTTGTCTTATTCCCGTCTTCACTTCGAAGGATTCCGTAAGTTTCCCGTTGTGGACTACTTGGCATTCAGCATTGTCGTACAACTGATGGATGAGATGAATAACTATCGACGGTACCCCGTAGTAGCGAAGCAGTTGCGAAATCACCTCTCGATCGACGCTGTCGAAGGCCTTTTCAAAGTCTATGTAGTTGAGATAGAGAGGTGACTGCCATTCCAAGCTTTGTTCAATGATGATCCATAGTGTGGCAATTTGATCGATTCATAACAACTTGTTTCTCGTGAATTCAGCTTGTTCCGGTTGAAGTTTTTCATCCAGGGTGGTGTGTTTGATTCTCCCCATGATGATTCGGCTTAGTATTTTGCTTGGGATGGACAGGAGAATAACTCCGCGCCAGTTCTTGCATTGACTTATGTCTCCTTTCTTTAGCAGTTTGAATAAGTAGTCTTTCTTCCAATCATCGGGTACTTTGCCCTCTTTCCACACCTTCTTCAGTAATGGTGTCACCAAGTCCGCTGTTGTCTCTGGGTCCATTTTCAATGCTTTTTCTGGGATTCTGTCTGGTCCTCGTGCTTAAAGACAGTATCAGCTCATTAGGTGTGTAACACATTACAATGAAGGTGTGAACTGTAACCATCTCTGTCTGTCTGTCTGTTTTCGACATAGAACTTTACACAAATGTGCAGAAGTTCAAGTCACCACACTCTGTGTAGCACGCGAAGCAAGAGAAGAAAGTACAAGAAAAGCATAATAGAAACAGTGAGCAGAGGTGTGAGACAAAGGAGTAATAAAGAAATACAAAACAGTTTCATTGAAGATCATAAGTCACAGGGAGTGGATGCATCTGCGCCACTGAGAACGGTTTTGAGCCATGTCACCAATTGTTTCCAACCATAGATTTTTACCGTCCCGAGGACCCCAGCCTGGAAGTCTACACCTTCCTACGTGGCTTAGACCAACTGTTGTGGATTTCATTGACTGGTGAGGCCAAGTTTCTGTTTGACCGCCGCTAGCTTTTTTCCAGCCTGACCCTATATCCGCTAACATTGCTCGTCGAGGGAGGCGATGACTTGGCATACGTAACACATGTCCTAACCATCTCAGTCTTTGTAGCTTCACGACTTCGTCGATTGATTTCCCCTGTTTACCTAGAACTCTACGCCTAACCTGAATGTTGCTCACCTTATTATGCCACTTTACACGGGAAATAGAACGCAGGCGCCTATGATCAAAGACAGCTAGTCTTTTCATGTCTTCCACTCTCAGTGGCCAGGTCTCACAACCATAAAGGAGGACGGAGCGGACTGATGAGCAGTACACCCGCCCTTTGGTCGATAGTCGAACATCTCGTCTACGCCAGAGTCGGCGTAAACTGGCAAATGCGAAACTAGCCCCCTGTATCCGTCCTGAGATTTCGTCAGAGATCAACCCGTTGGGGCTGATGGTACTTCCCAAATAAGTGAAGCGGTCAACGTGCTCTACCACTTCACTTCCTATTTTTAAACTAGGCATCGATGTAGTCCAGTCCTGTAACATCATCTTGCATTTAGCGGGAGCGAATCGCATGCCAAACATTCGTAGATTGCGGCTCAAGGTGTTTAGAAGACTCTGCATTTCGTCAGCGTCTTCGCCTAGAAGGACTATATCGTCTGCATATTCCAAGTCAACGAGTTTATTCCCCGGTAGCAAGTCAATCCCTGAGTCGCTGAAGTCACCTAGGGTTAAGTCCATTAACACATCTATGATAAAGTTGAATAGAAAAGGAGATAATGGGCATCCTTGACGGACACCACTAGTCGTCATCAGTTCAGATGACAGCTCGCCGTAAGCCCTCACCTGGCTGTATGAGTACGAGTAGAGTGCCTTAATCAGTGCAATATATTTTCTTGGAATTCCCTTTACAGCCAAGCATCTCCAGAGAACTTCCCGATCGACAGAGTCGAATGCTGCCTTTAAGTCAAGAAATATAATGACTGTTGGACGCCGGTAGGAATGCCTATGTTCTAGAATCTGTCGGAGGGTGAAGATATGATCAATAACCCTCTTCCTGGTCTAAAGCCTGCCTAGCTCTCTCGTGTTTGTGCTTCCCGAGCACCACTCAGTCTACGCATGATTATTGAGCCTAAGACTTTAGATACTATATTAGTCAAGCTAATCCCTCTGTGATTATCACAGGAAGACTTGTCTCCCTTCTTGTATATGGGGATAATCAGTGACTTACACCAACCCGATGGGACTTCTTCTGATTCCCAGACGCTGCCTAGTACCTCAGTTAATCCGGACAGTAAGCTGTCTCCACCGTACTTAAATACCATCTCAGCCTTACAACTGTTTCATTACAAATATAAAGGAAGAAAAGGGAAGCTTTTTTGTCAATCGAGTGCTTGATATAACTTCGGTAGTATATTCAACTGAATATTGGTGGTATAAATAAAGGCTTGTGTCTTGTGAACACCTTTGAACAGAAATCTTCAAATGTTTGACAAGCGATTTGCTCCTGTGCAAATGCAAGATGGTGTTGAAGAACTGGTGTGCACTAATGCTTAGTCTTAAATATTGGTAGAGATGAAGCAGTATGGACTGTATGGACCACTTCACTTACATCAGCTCTTATAGACTGGCTTGCTAACAAAATCTGGGCATGGATGCAAAAGGCCTATGTGGTATTTGCCAATTTACGTCATCACTGGAGCAGATGTGATATCCGGTAGGAAACGAAAAACAATAAAATTTAGAACAACACGCATTTAAGCGAACAATATTGTGGTTTCAATTACATTTCATCAGGCTTAACTCTAATATACCTACAGAACTTTACAAATAAAAATTCATATATAAACCAGTCATGGTATTTTGTCTATAGGATATAAATTGTGCAATTAGTCATAATAGTAGTAATGACAATAATAATAGTAATAGTAACAATGCTGTTATCAGTAATAAGGATGAAAAAGTGAGGCAATCTATGACACCACGAATAATGAAAAACAGCATGATTAAACAAACAAATCTTCAGGTGGAAGCAGCCAATAAAGGCTAGTAAAAACAAATGAACCGATTAAGTAATGCTAGACTGATTGTAAGGGAAGTAAATGAGACACATTTATTAACGAAGATGTGATAAGATTAAGGGAAGATAAGAAAGGGGTTGAAAATATAAACAAGGAGTGGTGTGGAAGTCATCAGTTCGTTATGTCTCAATACCCCAATAAGGGAGGGATAGTGGCTGTTCGAACTTCTTTTGAATGAGCATAGTTTAGGTTTATTAGTTCGAATGCCTATCGCCTGACTCAGCTGTGTACAGTAGACGAATACGAAGTCTATTAGAAAGATTCGGTGAGATACGATGAATTACTTTGAAAGCTCTCGTTTTCTCCACTACATGACCACTATCAACTAAATGTGACAAAATCGAGCTGCGGATTGTTTTTGTCTATCCTTTGTCAAACCACGATGGGAGATGTTCAATAGTGACACGTTGACTAGGTTGTCTAGTTGTGCGCCCAACATAACTGTCACCTCAGGTGCAGTTGACTTGATAAATGCACATACATGTGGCAAAACTATCTAGCTTATCCTTCGTTTGAGTCCCGATCATTTGTTGGCTAGAGAATGACAAACACAGGTATCCTGCGTAAAATGTTCTTCGTATACTCCTGGAAGAGGATTTTTACGTGCAGTCAGAGTCTCAGGTTTTTCCTCTGATGTTTTCATATGCTTCTTTATGAAACTACTCGGATAGCCCATCTCCGTCAAGGAATCGTGAATATATTCAAGTCCCTTTTGTAAGAGGTCATCCGTACATATATTTCTTGCACTGTTCGTAAGACATTTAACCACATTCCTTTTATATTTAATACGCACGTAACTAAGAAAGTGTGTGTATTGCCCTGTGAATGTGCTTTTTCTATACACGCTTCTCCCAAGTGACCCATCTTCTCTCTTAATTAGCAAGACATCCAGAAAGTGTAGTTTATTCTCCTGCCCTTCTTCACAAGTTCATTACTACTATTATGACTAATTGCACAATTTATATTCACCGTCGTAATATCCTATAGACAAAATACCATGATTGGTTTATATTTGAATTTTTATTTGTAAACTTATGTAGATATATTAGAGTTAAGCCTGATGAGATGTAATTGAAACCACAATATTGTTCGCTTAAATGCGTGTTGTTCTAAATTTTACTATGGGAATATTTAATATATTGAAAAACAATAAAACAATTGTTAGTCGTATTTTCTTTTTCTATAAGCGGTAAGATGCGTACCTTGATGTGGACGGATGTACCAGTGAGACAGATCTCAACACAGGTATACACATAAAATTAATTGCAACATTTTAATTAGCATTATTACATACTAACTTTAATGAGTCTAAGGAATTACATAAAAGTCTATTTAGACAAGCTCTTAAATCTGTTCGACATTTTTCAATGACTTAAATTGATGTTTCCGGGGTGATTATCAAACAAGGTAAGTTGTATTCACTGACTTCATGCAGCAAAGGGCGTTAGCACAAAAGTGGAGTTGAATTGGTGAAGATGAATTTGAACTTAAACGCTTTGGATTAGACTAACGCTTATGTGAGTGGTTCAGTGACTACCTGATGGATAGGGGCAGAAGGTAAGGGTTAACGGTGAACTGTCAGGGTGGAAAGCAGTAACAAGTGGAGTACCCCAGGGAACTGTACTTGACCCCCTGCTATTCCTATTATACGTAAATGAAGTGCCGAAAATTCTTACCTCATCTTCCCTACTATTTTCAAACGATATTAAGATATGGAAAACTGTAAATAGTAACGATGATAGCTTGGTACTACAAAACGATCTAGATAAATTAGCCGAATGGGCTGACCTTTGGAGTCTGGAAATTGGTTCCAAGAAAAGCGTGGTAATGCACCTAGGTCAGAAGTCTTACACGTCGTACTCCATGGGGGACACAGAACTGCCAGATGTTAGGAGACAAAAGGACTTAGGAATTATTGTAAGCCATGACTTAAAAACAGCGGCAAATTGTAATCGAGCCACAGCTAGGGCTTTTCGAATTCTATGGGCACTTCAAAGGGATTTTAAACGATTAGACGAGGGTATGTTTCAAGTACTCTATACAATATATGTCAGACCCCACCTAGAGTACCGCATACAAGCGGCGAGTCCATGCTTCAAAAAGGAGGTACATATCCTGGAAAAAGGACAGAGGGTAGGAACCAAATTATTTAGTGGTATCTCACACCTTCCTTATGATATGAGGAAGAGCATTTAAATCTCCTCCCATTATCATGCCAAAGGAGGAGAGGCGACTTAATTTCGGCTTACCGTATATTCAAGGGTGATTTAGGGATTGACCTTTCAAACCTTTTCTCTCCCTCTAGGATACATTTACGAGGTTGCCACAAGAAAATGCTCAAACTGAGGATGACTAAAATACGTGCAGTAATTAGATTCTCTCACAGAGTGGTCAACGACTGGAACTCCTTACTTGATTCAGTAGTAACAGCTCCATCGGTGAACGCTTTCAAAGAGAAGCTGGATCTCTACAGAGGTATATATATCTCGAAGATTAACATAGGCAACAAGAGCCTTCTATCCTTATAATCTGAATCTGGACATTCATCTAGAGGAGCTGGTAAACCCAGATTCCAAATCTATGGTGCACAGCGGCTCCAAAATGCGAAAGAGACGAACCTCTGTATTTTTATCAACGGAAACCGTGGAGGGGGGGTTAGCTTCTAACATCACTCTGATGTCTTGTGAATCAGATTTCAAGTCAAAAGTTCGAGGATTCACCCCTCAAGGCAATCACCTCTTTCGGTCTGTGTACCTCACGCCTAACAAAGGCTTCGTATGACGAATATCCAGACAGTCATACTGTGGTAAGTTTGCTTAATTAATAATCACAATAATAATAATAATAATGGGCAAAACTAACCTCCATCAGAAAACGGGAATGAAGAGTCTAATTCTGGAATCTCTAGTGTTGAACCAGGCGGTATAACAAGACGTCGATTGAGATCTTTTGCATTTTTAACTGTAAGTGTTAAACGTTGGCCTTTATCTTGAACACGAGAAGCTGGTGTAATTAATCGATTTTCATTTCCACAATGTGTACAACTGAAAGATGAGATGATAACCTCTTTAAAATATGCTATTTTTGTCAACAACAGGAATGTTGTGCCCTTATATGAAAAAAACAGAACAAGAAAAGATTAAAAATGAGCCGACTGACAAAGTAAGACGTATAAGTTTGTAAAGAATTTATATATATATATATATATATATATATATACTTCCATAATGTGCGTTAACACTCAACAACCACGTGCATTCATACTTAGTTGGCAGGTTTTAGACCAGGAAGAGGATGAATTTATCATATCTACCCCACCCCACACTTTGACAGATTCTTGAACATAGATATACTTACCGGCGTCCAACTATCGTCATATTTCTTGACCTGAAAGCGTCAATTGGTTCCGTCGACCGAGAAGTATCATGGTGATATTTGATTGTGAAGGGAATGCCGGGAAAATGCATCAAACTGATCAAGGCACTCTGCTAGAACTTATGTAGTTAGCTAGGTGAGAGCCTATAGAGAGTTGTCATCTGAAGTAGTAACACCCAGTGGTGTCCGTCAGGGATTCCTAACAATGTCTCCATTTCTATTCAGTTTCATCATAATTGTACTAATGGACTTCACTCTAACTGACTTCAGAGACTCAGGGATTGACCTGTTACCATCAGGGAATAATCTCGTTGACTTAAAATACACAAATAAGATATAGCCTTGCTCCTAGATGAAGACGCTGACAAAATGCAGAATCTTATAAACACCTTGAGATGCAATCTGCAAATGTTTGACATGCTAACTGACCCCACGAAATGTAAGATGATATTATAGGACTGGACTACACTGACTCCTAGCTTAGAAATAGGGAGTGAAACGGTAGAGCACGTTGACCGATTCAATCATTCGGGGAGTTGCATCAGTCAACCCCAGTGGTTTGGTCGCTGACGAAATCTCAACACGGATAACAAAGGCTCGTTTGGAATTAGCCAAATTACACCGTCTCTGGCGTAGACGTGACATGTAGCTGGCTATTGATCAATCGACTGATGCACTGCTCAGCAGTTCATTCCGTCGTCCTTTAACATCGGCTGTGAGACATGACCATTGAAAGTGGAAGGTACGAAAAGACTACCTGTCTTTGATCGTAGGTTTTTGTGTTCCATCTCCCGTGTTGGGTGATTTAATACGGTGAGCAGTAATGAGGTTTAGGCATAGGTGGAGTGCTGGGTAAGTGAGGAGGAGGGGAAATCAGTCGATGCGGTTGTGAAGTTACATCGGTTGAGGTGGTTAGGACATGTGTTGTGCATCCCTAGCTTAATCTAGCCATCGCATTCCCCGACAGGCAATGTTAGCTGACATAGGATGGACCAGGTTGGAGAAGAGCTAGTGATGGTCCATCGTTCTCCTATATTACCATTCTTTTTGCCTCATATTTCTGTTTATTATCACTTTTTTGAATCTCTCTTTACTCTCCTCTCTTGCTTTGTGTGCTACATGGTATGGCAACTTCAGCTGTTGCACATTTCTGCAATGTTTGGCGTTGAAACCAGTCAATTAATCAATCACTTAGTTGCCAATGAGCCCCACTAGCAATTCATACAACCTAGTTTCTTAAACCTTGATAGGTGAGACGGAATTCGATCGCATAACCCGGTGGTTGGAAGTCAATCGCCTAAAGCCAATAAGACAGGATCATTGATAGCGTATGAATTGAAATGCATTATTACCATTATTAGGATTATTTGACAATATTAAAAGCATGATAGCATGTGTTGTGACCAGTCAACTTAACATACAGAATATTCGACATTAAGATTATATTAAGCTAGTTAACAATAATTTCAAGAGCTCAACTGGTCACTAACAATACTGCAGCTCAAAAATTTATCACAGATTTACACATTAAATGTCCAAGCATAATTGATGCAGTTAGGATTCTATTAAGAGGTGTGTTTGAAATCAATATCTAATTCAAGTTTTTACGCTGATAAACCACATTTCAAAATCAAGTAAAAATAAATGTCTACTATGCATTGCACATGAAGTCTTCTGTATAACTATTATGAAAACACCACTGATACGAGACATTTCGTATATTGAAATTGTTTCACAATTTAAAAAGATGACACTTGTATAAGCATAGTCTACCTGACTAACTTGCTGACGAATCAACCTGCAGTTTTGCTCAGAAGTGCATCATGTAAGCTCTTGGCACTTCAAAAGAGAAGAACAGAATCAGTGATACTAGGTAAAACAAATGTATGACTGAGCGAATAATTAAATGAGAATTAGTCTAGCTCTTAAAATCTAAAAGATAGTGAGGATTGAAAACCTCTGCCACTCCGACTATTGACTCTTGAGAAATACTATCACAGTGAATAAAGTGAGAGCGTTTTATACCAGTTACAACAAAACACATGTAAATACGCAATATGATTGAACTGAAATATGATCTGTAGGCGGAATTTAATGCACCAACTCTTGACTAACAAAAATAACTGCAGCCTTCAGACAAAGAAACATTTCTGGGATCTAGGTAGAGTGTTCGAATACTCTTTGAGTGCGGTTGATTCAATCACTTTCGAAATAATGATAGAGCAATCATCTAAGTAGTAACTGACGGTTAAAAGAAATTTTCAAAAGTTGTTCAAGCAATTGATGTTAAGGTACTTAGGGAGAATGACACAGAGTAGTTTTTGAATTCGATAAACGAAATTAATAGCTATAATACGGAAAACAAACTCGATACTCTAAGACTGACGTCGTTCGTTAACAGTGTCTCCTAAGAAGAAGAGAAATCCATTTGTAATAAATAAAACAATTAAGTTAAGTAGGCATACTACAGGTCTGAGCGCTCTTGTTTAGCCAGTAAGTGTGGAAACTAGTAGTAATAGTTTGCCATCTGATACTATATTTTCTAGCTTCAGTAGGACGTCGAAATGCCCCACCGAGGCTGACTACGTACTATGGGAAACAAAGGTAAGAAGTGAAAGGAGTATTAAATGGAAACCGGGGACTAGTTGAATCCCATAAAGCACTGTTCTATGACCTCAATTAGCCCCCACTGAATACTTCTCATTCTCTAGTTGAAAAGTAGAAAAATTTACCCAAAGACTAATTGGCGTGTTTAAGGTCACCCTAGAATCTTCTAAAACAGACAGCATTCGGTATTCCTGTCGCAAAGCTCACTTAGGCAACATGCCTTATCTATCCAAGCTATGAAGTTAAAGTAATCCCATTGAATCACAATAATGTGGATGGGATACGTTTCACCTTCAGTGTGAGCTTATCTCATGATCTTTGTTTTCCTTTTCACTCTTCTGTAACAATCTATACTTTCACCATTTCTCCGGTTAAGTTTTGCATCAAATAGGATGATGTGAAAACAACTCCACATACAGGAAATCTTAAGGGAGTTCGGGAGTCTTTTGAAGGAAAATTATTTCCGCACTTCCCCCCCCCAGACATTTTTTTAATTTGCTCAAGAATTATAATATCTGGTAGTGTCACTAAGCAACACTGAGTAGTGCACGTTCATCTAATTTTGATGAATTAGGAAACAAAAAACAGGAATAAAATGGACCTAGCAACCTTGATTATGAGGACAGGGTCTGCCGAAAAATTAGACGCATGTGAAGGTAAAAGAAGAGGTTAGATGTTGAAGAACAGACTAACGAAACTGGAATATACATGAACTCGTAACAGTAAAGAGTAAACACTAACTTTGGATGACGTTGAAACAGCCGGTCAGGTTCTTCTACGTAAAAAGTAGTACTTATTTGTAAAAAGTGTACCTATGATATATGTGCAGTAGGAGTGAATCATGCAGGGTACACATCTCATATGATGCAAAAGCTGGCTCTAGTTTCCCATAGAAGTGGTCACAGACACATCAAACCAATTTACTCTTTATTTCTGAAGCTGCAGCAGCTACTGGTCGCATATACGCAATATATTACTGAGGGAGAGTATCGATTTCGAGAAGAAAATGTCAAAAAATCAACATTTTGTACGGCTTACCAAGTCCTTCATATAAAGTGGTTGCATTTGAGTGAATAACCATCAGTAGCCCAGTAACACTTTTCCCTCTACATGCGCATGTTTTAGCCCTCCCTATCAACCCATTTTGTACAGAGTAGTGAGAAACGAAATCCAGGAGACACTAGTAACGAGGAGTATGACTAGCATCCATTTGTAATGGTGAGCTATCTGGTTGGTTAAATCAAGGTCATTTGACTTTGGGGTGTCAGTTGTTTACTCTTGGCCATGAACTTCTAAAGTACATATGCAAAATGGCTTCACTAAAAGTCTTCTCATATTTTCTACATCAGAAAACATCTCCATGCAACGACTAGTTTCAGTGTATGTTTGCCTACAGCACGTAAACACAACAAACTGTATTATCTGCTTACATTTTTTAAGCATTTGACACATAAACTTTCTATCTCAATCGGGTTCGAGTCTTCATCAGCACTTAATTCTGTAATCATGCTTAATTGCTGCGTTAGATCTAAAATTGGCGCGTACAGTTCTCAATATCCAATACGTTTTTCTGACTCTGATTCATTGGTTGAGGATAGAAGCTTCTGAGCCTTTGTTGATCCGTTTCTGAGTAGATTTCTGTGCTTTTTCAAACCCTTCTTGAATGAATTAGGTGGAGAGTTCAATAACTCGGTGTGAGAACCAGTATTCCACAGCAATATAATTTTACTTTTTTATATTTTTGATTACAGCTTGATTCCACACTGCATTTTTGGAACAAGTATGGAATTTCCAGCATGGATATCAGTAGCCCGAATTTCGAAGGCCATCCATTGATATCGGCTGTGCGCTGGCAGGGGATAGAACCCCAGACCATGTGCATGGTCGGCGAGAGTTCTGACCACTGTGCCAACGATTCCCATATATAATTTATTCTTGACATTCTGCTTTGTCCCCTAAGGTGTTTTCACCATGGAGAAGGAAAAGAGAGAACACGTCAGGTGTGTAGACGTTATTTAAAATATTAAATATTGTCATTAAATGTTCTCTCTGCCTAGAGTATTGTAGCGGTAAATAATTCCTCAAAATTATTGACCACAGCAATCACTCATTGGATGCTGACCACCACTGTTTAAGTCGACTTGTTTAGCTGAAGGCTTCCGGTCAAGCATCCCCGCCATTTGGTACTCCGTCGTGTCACGTGCACGATCACTAGCTAGCTAAGCGTTCGTCTAACGGCTTGTTTTGGTTCCAAAATATATTACGAAGTTTGGACGATCAATTATTGGCTTTTGCTTTGTCTTTGGTACGCGAGAATAAATTAATTAGAAGTTGCTGAACGAGATATCCGTCAACCTTTAAACTGGTGAGCCCAACCGCGAACTTCATCCACGATAAATCCGCAGATAACCCCGGTGAGTTCGTTCCATTTTGTATTTGTTCTTGTACCATACATTATTCGACTTAATTTTCGTCATGAGTGATCTTAGTCCCAAGGTTATCCGTATCCGCTCTACTCCTAAAACCATTCAGCTCCTACCATACTGGCCAGATAATGCTGAAACTTGGTTTCTGCTAGCTGAAGCAGATTTTTGTGAGCATGGGATAACCGATCAACGTCCACAGTTACTTCCAGTTATTCACGCTCACCGCGCGAATTCAGCAAGTACGTAACATCACAGATGTTGAGTCCCGAGGCAAGTAACTCGTACGAGTTGCTCAAAGCATCCCTCCTCAGGAGACACGTTCTCACGGACCGACAACGTCTAGATGAATTATTTCGTAACATCGAGTTAGGAGATCAGTCAGCCGTGAGCATGCTGACAAGAATGAAGGAAGTCATCGGCCAAAGTCAGCTCGACGAAGGACTGTTTAGAGAACTCTTCTTAACCAAGTTGCCACAGTCTGTACAGACCGTACTTGTGACACTTCAGGGTACTGTAATAGAGGACTTAGCTATTACTGCAGATAGGATTCTAGAAATAACTAAACGGCCTGTTCCCGAAATATGCTCGATGACTAAGCAGACTTCGAGTAAGGATCCTGCAATGATAGAGTTATGCAACTCCACCCAGCAGATGTTTAGGTCGAACATGCATTCTAACTCCTCCGAGCGTCGTCCTAAGTCTCCTCAACGCAGGAACTCACGTGGTCGATCTAAGTCCAAACCACGTTCTCTGAAAAACCCTGACTGGTGCTGGTACCACAACACCTATGGCCAAGAAGCGAAGTGTTGCCGTAAGCCTTGTAACTTCGGAAATGTCTCAAAGTCTGTGGGAAACTATCCCGCCGGCACGCGTTAGCGGCAACCGTCGCCGGTGGCACTAGCCGCCTACTTAACATTCATGATGTGATCAGCCAGACTTAATATTTAGTCGACGCAGGCGCCGAAGTCAGCGTCCTTCCTGCTACAGCAGCAGATCGACAGAAGGAACCTACCTTCAACTTACAGGCTGCAAATGGAAAACCAATCGCAACCTTTGGTATACGTCTATTGACGTAGGTTTACGCAAACCTATTCGATGGATTTTCCTTCTCGCTGACGTTACAATTCCCGTCATTGGCACGGACCTACTTAATCATTATGATTTACTCGTAGACGTCCTCCGAAAACGACTGATTGACAATACTACTAGTCTGTCTATCAAAGGCATCAGCTACATAGGCCCTAGTTTGTCACCCGTTAAGATAAAGGCAATCCTTGATCCAACTTTTCAACCTATTGTTGACAAGTATCCGGAACTTAATTGCCCGTCGAACGACCTACCGTGCATGACCAGCAATGTTATGCACCACATCATTACCACAGGACAACCTGTGACATCTAAAGCACGACGATTAGCTCCTGACAAACTGAGAATCGCCAGGAATGAATTTGATCATATGCTTACCCTTGGCATCATTCGACCTTCGAATAGCCCATGGGCATCCCCACTTCATATGGTTCCGAAAAAGGATAGCAATGATTGGCGACCCACCGGTGATTACCGGCGAGTGAATGCCAAAACAACCCCCGATTGCTACCCGTTGCCTCATATACACGACTTGACGGCAACCTTATCCGGCGCGACTATATTCTCCAAAATCGACTTGGTTAAAGCGTATAACCAAATCCCGATGGCAACAGAAGATATCCCGAAAACGGCTATCATTACGCCTTTTGGGCTTTTTGAATTTCTACGTATGCCATTCGGTCTCCGGAATGCAGCCCAAACATTCCAACGCTTCATTGACGAAGTATTTCGCGGTCTCGACTTTGTATACGCATACGTAGACGACTGCCTCATTGCCAGTCCAGACAAGGAAACTCACCTTAGGCACTTGGACTTGGTATTTGAAAGGTTACGCCAACATGGTGTTACCATCAATATTCAAAAGTGTCAAATCGGTGTTGACTCACTCGACTTCCTGGGTCACACTATTGACTGCAAGGGCATTCGCCCACTGGCTACTAAGGTTAAGCCTCCTAAGAAAAACCGTTCTGGACGCACCGTAAGGTTCTCAGAATATCTGCACACTTATTTGACTTACCGAAGTCGTGTGATTCACGCAACTCATTCGTCTGTGGTACTGACTATTTTTTGACGTATCAATTTTCTTTTATATACAGTACCACCGAAAACAAAATTTTTTTCCAACGGTTCATGTAACATACACATAAAAATTAATTAGATGTATTTTTTTCGATGTTCTGAACTTAGCATTATTTTACTGTATAGTAAATGCACACAATTTTTTTAACCAAAAAGCTCATTTCGTACATTTTCCTCGACATGGTTCTTAGCGTTCTTGTTTTCTTTTCCAGGTGCGACGGGCACTGGACAGGAAACAAACGAAGCACGGAATCCAACGAACAACAACAAGGAAGCTATGTACAAACACCCTATTAGCATAGACAGACAAACCAGTAGGCATACGACCAAGGCTCTCGGAAGATTTTTTTCACCCGAAAGGGAACCATCGAGTTTTTTTTACTTCCGGCTGGTTCTGTCTTAGGGTCCTCACGACCCCACTAGGGGGGGAGTGAGCTGTAGCGCTAAATAATTCCTCAAAATTATTGACCACAGCAATCACTCATTGGATGCTGACCACCACTGTTTAAGTCGACTTGTTTAGCTGAAGGCTTCCGGTCAAGCATCCCCGCCATTTGGTACTCCGTCGTGTCACGTGCACGATCACTAGCTAGCTAAGCGTTCGTCTAACGGCTTGTTTTGGTTCCAAAATATATTACGAAGTTTGGACGATCAATTATTGGCTTTTGCTTTGTCTTTGGTACGCGAGAATAAATTAATTAGAAGTTGCTGAACGAGATATCCGTCAACCTCTAAAGTATGATAAAGAGAGGAGATTTAAATATCTAGTCTTTGATATGAGAATAAAACTTGTGCACTGTGGGTAAATTTTTGTTTTGATAAAGTCTCACAGTGTTATACAGTTATGTTTATTGATGACGTTTCGAGCACAATTTATTGCTCATAATCATATCAAGGTATGATTATGATATGAGCAATGATATGGTATGATTATGAGCAATAAATTGTGCTCGAAACGTCATCAGCAAACATTACTGTATAACACTGTGAGACTTTATCAAAACAAAAATTTACCCATAATGGTATCTAGTCTTTCCTCCTATGATATTTTAGTAATGCTAAACATCATACGTGTTGCCTTCCTTTGAACCATTTCTATCATGTTTGAATCCCCTTAGTGACAAGGACTAGCTGGCTGCCTGGATACAGTTTTCCCATCTTGACCTCACCAGAGATGTATAAAAGGAGGTGAACATATCTCTGGTGATCATAGTAAACACTCTACTTATTGCCCAAAGGAATCTGAAACTACTTGCAGTCACCGCGCAACACTGTGCTGTAGTTTTTAAATCGTGACTTACTATGACATCTTAATCCAAATGAGCCTGAACTGATGGGAGTGTTTTTTCCTCTAGTTGGTAGGACTCGATGCTTGCTTGTTCGATGAGCATGATTGCACATTTCTCTACACTGATCGTGTGCATGCATTCTCTGGACCACTCTGACAGTTTGTTGGGGTCTTCTTGCAACCTGAGCGTATCACTGTGGCCCTTCAGCTCTCTCCAGATTTTTGAGTCATCTGCATATAGGATCATAGAGGAATCGGTGACCAGAGATAACTCATTGATATAGAAAAAATTAAGGCCCTATGTTCCACTGGGAACGTGAAGGAAAAAATAGAAAATAAATAGGAGAGGTCCAAGTACTGTGCTTCGTGGCACTCCGATACACACTGCTGTCCAAGAGGCGAGTTTCGAGTTGATCCCAACCCTCTGCCTCCTATCTCTGAGGAATTCCCTCAGCCAGTTTAGTAACCTCCCTTTGATATCGAGACTTTCCAACTTCATGAGTGGTCTTTTGTGAGAAACTTTATCGAAGGCTTTGCTGAGGTCTGTGAAGACGATGCCAACGGGTCTCCTGTTGTCTCATGATTTGTCCCAGCTCTCTCTCTCTCAGTGAGAAGACATGACAGGTAT